GATCCGGGACAACACATGCAGTGCTAATACTCGCTGCTGAGACACCTGGCTTCGGGTCAGGTGGAACAGCTCCTGTAAGGAGTAGCCTGCTCTCTGGAGCAGGAATAAGAAGTCAAAAGGAGGCAAGACACAGGGCAGTGTCCCAGAAATACCCAGCAAGATGCCCGGCAAAAGACAAGAAAAGTAGATGTCACCCCTTGTCCTGCTCTCCAGGGGGCCTCAACCTGGAACAGAAGACGGGACATGCACACATATACCATGGCATAAGGCAGATGGGGCAAGGTAGCAATCAATTTTTAATTTACAACCAGAGGACAAGAAGGATGTGGGCCTGGGAAAATGATCTCATCTCATGGACAGGCAGTTTTAGTGTAGCAAAAGTAAAGATTTCCCCAGAGTAAACCCTGGGGGTGCCTGAGCAGTGGGCTAAACAAGGAGCCAGTGGAATGAATGGTTCAGCAGGAGTGAAAGCAGGCAGGAGGGTCAGCAGCAGCAGCCTGCAGAAGGAATATCCAGCCAGGTTGAGCTGGGACCTTGTTCTGCAAGCACAGGGGAGCCAGGAAACTTGCTAAGACAAGGTGTAACCTGAGCTGGGCCAGAGGAAACCAGGGTGGCAGCCCAGGAAAAATGGAATGCTATGAGGAAAAGCAAAGAGGGCCCAGAGACTCAGCAGACAGCAGGGCATGTGGCCATGGTCCAGGAGGAACGGGACTGACCACAATGTGAGCGGCAGAGAGAAATTCCAAGCCTAGGAAACTGAATGGGCAACAAGGCCATGACTTGAAACCAGGAACAGAGGTCAGAGGACTGGGGGGCCTTTCTCCACATGGCTGTTAAAAGTTCCTCCCAAGAGCTCACCTCCGCCTCTTCGCCATGGTGGTGGAGGCCTAGATGGGTGGGTAAGTCCACATCCGGGGCCAGGAGCTCTCCCTGAAGACTGAATCGGGCCTGCATTTTCTAATGGAAAGAGAAAGACTGGGCTGGGGATAGCAGCCACTTCCTCGTACCCACTGCTCACCTTTAATCCCAGGCTTCCTGGGACTTAGGTCCTGATTCTACCAGTCAGTGGATATGGGCTTCTCTTACAGTGGGCCCCAGACAGAGTTTGGAGGAAACCAAGGTGTTTTTTTGTTCTTTACCTTGGTAAAAACCAAGCTGCTTCTCAGGCTTGGAACAAGAAGGGCCCAAGTGCTGGGTGCAAGGGCATCAGCACCACACCCAGCCTGGTAGACCAGCGGGCTGTGCTCACCTCCTGTGTTTTCTGCCGCCGGAGTGGGGGCAGGTCCTGGGTCCAGTGGAGCTTCTCCAGCTCAACATTATCCATGTGCAGCCATTCTTTGTGAGGGGTCATAGGCAATTTCAGAGCTGGGGAGAGAGAAGCATGATGAACTTCTCTGGGGGACCCAGTCAGCACACAGAACTTACTGCAGCTCCCTGTGCCCTAGGACCCACAGCTTCTACCCTTGGGTGGGGCTAAGTGACACTTAGGGACAGGAACTCCCGAGAATAGGGTGAAGGTCTTAGCTATTGCAGACCCATTCAGTCCTGACTCTAATGTTCTGCTCACTGCAAAGATTTGCTGGGAGGGAAAAAAAGGAAAAGCAGAGGGGAAAAAGAACAGAGGAAGACTACATATATGGGTAAAGCAGTTTCCCTCTCGGTTGCCACCCCTTGAAGAACAGGGGAGCGAGGACAATGGGGGAGCAGCACACTGTTCCAGGGCAGCATAGAGTTGCCTGCTTCCTTACCCCTACCCCCAGCCAACTTGCCCAGCTGGCCCTGGATGCCTCTGGAGCAGGAGGCTCCTGGCTTTTGTAATTCAATTTCCTCCTTTGTTAATCTTAATGAAATAATCTAGTTTCAGGGGCAAAAGTGCTTCCATTGGCCTCTGCTGGCATGTCCATAGATGTTCATCAGCCTCTCCCTGTCCCATGTCCTGGGCCTGGCAGCTCCGAACATGGAGAAGGGGCAGAAGGACCAGAGGGGTGGAGGAGAGAGGTGGGCAGCTGTGGTAAAGCAGGGAGAGTCTGCTGGGGAGGGACTTTAAGCTGTCAGCCCAGGCTACAGCTCACCAGGAAGGAGAAGGAGCAGAACAGAACAAGAAAACAGGAAGCATGTGCAGGAAGACGTGTACAGCAAATGAAGACTGATCTGACTCAACTTAAAGGCACTAATGAGGATTAACAGTCCATGTCCTAGTGCACGGAAGCTTCTTTCTTCCCCACTCTCCAAGATAATAAAAGGAACATTTTTCATATTTTATCGACAAAAACAGTGTTGTCCTCCAAACCTGGGGCTCCTGGCTCCAGCTCACTGTCCTGCCTGGGTTCACTGGCAGACACTGACACGGTGGGCTCCTCTTGGGTCATGGGAACTGAAGGTCCTCCAGGCCTCTGCTCCTCACTGACCTTCTTTCCTGCTTGCTCATGGTTGTGGCCATGGGATCTCAAGAAGGCAATCATGCTGGGGTCTAGAGAAGAGGTGAGGGGACAGTGAGAGAGGGCCAACATCTAGGCCTCCTGTAGCCTGGTCCCTCATAGTGCTGCCTGCCTCTGGGTGCCAGGACAGGACAAACTGGTTCCCAACCCGAGCCTAACCTCTGGGCCTTCCCTGTTGCCTTTCCATGACACTGTCTTCTTATAGTGTGGGGTCCCTAGAATCTGAAAAGCCTCTTTTCCTGTCTCTAGAATGCCCTGGCCCAGGCTCCTGTGTTTGGTACTAGGTCACAAGTCAAAAGTAAGTGGCTGGGGCTGGTGAGATGGCTCAGTGGTCTAAAGCACCTACTTAGAACAAGCTTAGCAAAGCACAGGGACCGCGGTTCAATCCCCCAGCCCCACATGCCAGCCAGCCGCGCCCCCTGGTGGGCTGAGCTGGTCACACACACACACACACATACACACACACACACACACACACAGTAAATAAAAAAATTTAAAAAAAAAAGTAAGTGGCTGTAGCCTGGGTACGGTGCCACATGCCTGTCCCAGCACTTGGAAGGATAAGCCAGGAGGGTTGCCACAAATTTGAGGTCAGCCTGGGCTACATATCGAGTTCTCTGAACTATAGAGCAAGACTCCATCTCAAAAATAAATATATGAGTAAGAAAATGTGACTAAAGTTTAAAGCTGGGTGTGGTGGTCCAGAACTCAGGAGGCTGAGACAGGAGGATCATTGCAAGTTCAAGACCAACCTGGGCTACAAAGTCATCTCCAGGTCAGCCTCAGATGCATAGCAACACCTTGTCACTAAAAGGTAAAAAAAGGGCCAGTCAGATAACTCAGCAGATTAAAGCACCTGCTTAGGCAGACGCAGGGGCCGGGGTTCGATCCCCGGTGTGCCTTGCTGGCCCCGCCCACAGGGTACACTAAGAGGGCAAGTAAGACTGGGTGTGGTGGTATGCTCCCAGTACTTGGGAGACTGAAAAACAGGAAGGATCACTATAAGTCTGATCTATATAGTGAGACCCTGTAAACCCTATACTAAATACATTAAAAAACAAACAAAAAGAAGCAATATTACTGCTATACACAATAGTACAAGCCTATGATCCTAGGACTCCTGAGGCTGAGGTAACAGGAATGAACCTGAACTATAATAGTGAGACTCTACCTCAGAAAACAAAGCAAAAACAAAACCTAATACAGATTAAACTGATGGTGTTAACTATTAAAGTTTTGTTCTGAAGGGCTGGCCAAATAGCTCAGCGAATTAAAGCGTCAGCTTAAGGCAGATGCAGGTGCTGGGGGTTCAATCCCCAGACCTGCTGTGCCAGCCCTGACACTGGGGTGCGCTGAGATGGCAATTGAGAATGGGTGTGGTGGTGCACGCCTATAATCCCAGCACTTGGGAGGCTGTAAACTGGAGAATGATTACGAGTCTGATCTACGTAGTGAGACCCTGTAGACCCTATACTAAATTTAAAAAAAAAAAAAAAAAAGTTTTGTTTTGAGACTAAAGTTGCTATCAAGTACAGGATATGACCAAAATCTATAGATTTGGTATCACAATTTTTATGTTGTGGCACATGAAGACAACGTATTTTATTTTCTTTTGGTACTGAGAATAAAATTCAGGATCTTGCACTTCCTAAGTAGGTGCTACGCCACTGAGCTATATCTCATCGTCGGCCCATATTTTTATCTTTTCATAAAGACTTCTGTTTGAACATGTGGCTGGAGTTGGAGATGTAGCTTTCTATGTTGGATCATATTTGTTTAAATGTAGTAAGTAGTAACATCAGATTGAAATTTCCATGGGTTTTAATAATAAATACAAATGGGTGTTTAAAAAAAGTGTGCAATAACACTGAATGAATGTTGACTAAGGTAAATGATTTCGCTTATCTTCTCAGCTAATTTATACAAATCTACAAAAATCTTGTATGTATTGGGCCAGCCAGATAGCTCAGTGGACTAAAGTGCCTGCTTAGGCAGAGCGCAGCAGCTGGGGTTCAATCCCCAGTGTGCCATGCTGGCCCCAACCCAAGGGCAATTGAGACTGGGCCTAGTGGTGTGCACCTGTAATCCCAGTGCTTCGGGAGATTGAAAACAGGAGAATCACTGAGTCCAATCTATGTAGTGAGACCATGTACACCCTGTAGACCCTGTTCTAAATTTATTTAAAAAAAAAAAAATTAAAAAAAAATCATGTATGTGTTACATATGTGTAAGATACACAGCAGGGAATAAAATTGACTGTGTGTCTAGAAAACAGAAATTAGCCGGGCAGGTGCGGTGGTGCATGCACCCGAAATCCCAGCACTTGGGAAACTGAGGCAGGGAGGTCACTTTGAGAGCAAGGCCAACCTGGGCTACAAAGTGAGTTCAAGGCCAGCCTGATTGTGAGACCCTGTCTCAAAAATATTGTATTTAATTAAAAGATAAAAATATTAAACTATAGCAGATGTCTATAATCCCAGAACTTGGGAGGCTGAGGAAAAAGGATGGTGCAAGTTTGAGATCAGCCCAGGCTATAAAGTGAGCTCTAGGCCGGAATAAACTGCAAAGTGAGACCCTGTCTCAAAAAAACTAAATTAGAAAATAGTAAGGTGACAGAAGCCAGGAAGGAGGTGTGGCATACAAGAGGGTCACACAGCAGAATATGCTGTAGTTACACTGGACCAGTGGTGGCAAACCCATCTGGGCACACAGAGTCCTCTTTATCAGCACTCAGTCAAGTCACCCCAGCAGCTGGGCATCAGTTGACAGCTGTTTTTTCCTAAACTAAAAACTCACTATTCAGATTTAATTGCAGTGATGGCACTTTGCAATAAATATGTTTGGGGTTATAGTTTAGATGCTCGTCTCTAAAAGGTTCACTATAATAAAGCATGTGTGTGCTATACCAGGTGGGAGGGGAATACACAGCACCGTGCTTACGAATAGCTGGGCATGGTGGTGCATACCTGAAATCCCAACTACTCAAGAGGCTGAGCAGGGGTTCAAGGCCAGCCTGGGATATATAGCAAGTTTAAACCCAGTTTGGACTAAAATTAAAAAAACAAAAACAGGCAGGGACCAGAACCAGAGAGAAATCTGGGCTGAATTCTAAATCTGGCCTGTAGGACTGGGGTTCTAACACAGCGGTAAAGTGTTTTCCTAACATATGCAAGGCCCTGGCTTGAATCTGAGCACTATGAAAAGACAAAATGAAATGAAGTAAATCCAATCTGTGTTCCTTACCAGCTTTGTAGACTGAGGGGGATTTCTTCAAGTTCTGAACCTCAGGTTTTTTCATGAGTGGAATGGAGTTAACCCTCCTTCCCCCATAGAAGTAGTTTCAGGACAAAACAGGAGGAGACTGTGCTAAATCTCCAGGGCAGCATGGGGAGCTCACAGGGAACCTTCTCACTACACGTCTCACCCGCCCCAGCACGCAGGAAAGCCAGGCACCGTACCAAGCTGTGCCAACAACTGTTGCTGCTCCTGCAGGATCTCCTCTGGAGCCATGGCTTGCAGTCTTGCTACATTCTCTTCGTGGATGGTCCGGACCTCCTGCTCAGCCTCCTGGCTGCTGAGCCCCTTTCCTGTGATTAGATGGGGCCTCTGGAAAGTATGGCTGCTCCCCAGAAGCTGAGTGACCTCGTCCCTGGAAGTGGGTGCCTCACAGCTCACAGCACCTGGAAGAAGCTCATGATCAGCCTCACTGATGTGCCTTCCTGGCTGTGATGGGCTCTGAGGCCTTCTCTGGGCCTGTTAGCCCTGGAGATGGGATGCATGCCTCCTCAGGGTGGGAGTGGCTGCTGTACTCACTCTTCCCATTAGACTTACAGGGAAAGCTTTCCCCCAGAAGCACCCTGATTTTTGACTTTTCTATTGCATATGTAGGCAGCCGTCTCCTCCAAGAGTCCGCTCCATGTGCTTGCACTAGTAAGTTACAGTATCATGGAAATTGGCCTATGTATTCAGTTTCTGCCAGACACTTCTACCTCCTTTTTCAAGGTGTATAGGGCTGGACAGATATCTCAGTGGATTAAAGAGCCTGCTTAGGCAGGTGCAGGGACCAGGGTTTGATCCCCAGCATGCAGTGCCAGCCCCACTCCTGGGGCCCACTGATTTAGACTGGGCGTGCACTTGTAATCCCAGTGCTCGGGAGGCTGAAAACAGGAGGATCACTATGAGTCATCTGTATAGTGAGACCCTGTACTAAATATATTTAAAAAAAAAAAAAAAGTTGTATAATGTCTGCTCCTCCCTATACCTGGTATCGAGGATGTGATGCTAGGATTGATTCATGGTTCAGTGCTAGAATGAAGGCTGACCCTGGGTATGAATGCTGCCTGCCCAGGTACCCTGGATAAACCAAAAAGCACAGAAAGAGGGCTGCTATGACTACTCTTTGCTGCTTACTGCTTTTGCTGCCTTCTGCCTGTCATGAGCTATTTTCCCTCTTCGATGCCCCTCTACCAAGCCACTCTCCCCAATCAGCTTGGAGCCAGCTGATAAGGGACTTCCCATGAGACCCAAGGCTCTCCAGCTTAGTACTCTGAGTGGTGTGGGAACACAGAATAACTCTTTCAAGATGATCACCTAAGTACACCTCTCCATTGAACCAGGAAAGAGCTATATCCACAGGGAACCTTTGATTGAGTCTTCTAAACAGGCCAAGCCTGGGCATCTGTAGCCTTAGCTCACCCTCTGGTGGGCCCGGGTGAGCCATAGCTTCTGCAGTCAATGGTCCCCTGCTTTCAAACTCCCTTCTGGCTGCAATCTCCTGAGCAAAGAGGCTCCTCTTACCACATGCTGCTGGCTTCCCCTGTGGGGCCAAAAGGAAACCCAGTGATCATGTGCATCCCCCACTCTACCTCAGCACCCTTTACATAGGTCTTTGGAACACAGACAGAAGAGACTCTGTTCAATCCCTGTGGGTCACAGCCCCAGTCCTCAGAAAATACAAGGGCTCCACAGAAGCAATGGTGTTGTAATCTGAACAGCTTAGGTTAAAACTGTAGCTTTTCCACCTAGGAAATGTGTGGTGTGAAACAAGTCATTTATCTCTTTGGGGTATCTGTCTGCTAAATGGAGTTGCTAGCTGGATGTGGTGGCTCAAGTATGTAATTCCAGCACTACCAGGGCTGAGAGAGAAGGACCCAGATGTATCCAGAATCCGGGATGCTATAAGTTTGAGGCCAGCCTGCACTACTATACATGGTGAGTTCAAGATCAGCCTGAATCATGTGGTGAGACCTTGTCTCAAAAAACCAAAAGAGGGGGTCGGGGATATAGCACAAAAGGCCTAAGTGCCTGCCTGGCAGTTGCAAAGTCCCAAGTTCAATCCCTGGTACCACAGGAAAAAAGAAAGAAAGAAAGAAAGAAAGAAAGAAAGAAAGAAAGAAAGAAGAAAAGAAAAGAAAAGAAAAGAAAAGAAAGGAAGGGAAGGGAAGGGAAGGGAAGGGAAGGGAAGGGAAGGGAAGAGAAGAGAAGAGAAGAGAAGAGAAGAGAAGAGAAGAGAAAAAAAAGAAAAGAAAAGAAAAGAGAAAGAAACAAAAGAGGGCTGGGGATATAGCTCAAAAGGCCTAAGTACCTGCCTGGCAGTTGCAAAGTCCCAAGTTCAATCCCTGGTACCACAGAAAAATAAATTAATAAATAAAAGAAAGAAAGAGAAGAGAAGAAAAGAAAAGAGAGAGAAATACAAGAGGGCTGGGGATGTAGCTCAAAAGCACAGCACCTGCATGGCAAGTACAAGGTCCTAAGTTCAATTTCCATTCCCAGTACCCTCAAACAACAAAAGAGAAAAAGTAAAATATGCACTACTTAAGGTTACCCCTGCCCACCTGTCTCTCCTGTGAGCAATGGAATACGGCAGGGAAAGCTACACCACTGGGAACAGGCAGCGTCACAGCCATTGACCTTGTGTCTCGTTCCTGTGGCAAGAAAGCACAAAGCAGTGAACATGCAGATTTCTCCAGCCGGAGGCCAACCCCTGGGCCTGTGTCCTACCCCTGCCCCAACCTGTAAGGGGGTCACAAACACATCCTGGTCATAAGGATTCTAACCCATCAGAATGCAACTGGGGAAGTCTGCTTTTCCCTCCTCTCCAACATCCTGGCTGCCCCCCAAAGCCCACCAACCCGGGGTGAGACACACAATAATCTTGGTCAAGACAGCAGTGATATGCTGGTCGTGTCTGCTCAATCTCTCCTCAGTGTCCTCATCTGCAGGTAGGGATTGTCCAAGACTGGGCCTGGCTCGCTTTGGGGGAGCAGGAACCAAAGCTGGGGGCAAATCTGGAAGATCTGAAAGAAAGAAACCTCAGATATGAGGATGCTCCCAGAAAGGTGCTGTTATGTCTCCCCAAAGCCTCATGCAGGCACAGGTGGAGCTTTTGGATGTGGCCGGATCCAGTGTGTGATGATGGGATCAAGGATGTGATGTGGGGTTCAGTGCTACATTTAAAGTTGTCCCATTACCCCCGATGAATGCTACCTGCGCCCAGTAGCCTGGATAGACCGTAAGGCACAGAAAGGGGCTGCTTTGTTTGCTCTTTGATGCTTTTTCTGTCTTCTGGTGTCCTGAGGTGCTTCTCCTCTACAATGCCCCACTCTGCATTGGAGCCAAATGATTATGCGCGGAACCCTCTAGAAACTGTGAGCCAAATAAACATTCCCTCCTTTTACTTTTGGTGTCAGGAATTTTGTCTCAGGAATGAGAATAGTAACTAAGACAGTAGCTGAGGGCTTAAGGGTGAGGGCAAAGGAAAACAGGCAGCTTCTGGCTCAAGATGCATCATCATAGCTATTTAACCTTTCTGGGCCTTGTTTTCTTTTCTTTTTCTCTTTTCTGGTGGAACTGGGGATTGAACTAAGACCCCTGCGTTTGCCAGGCAAGTGCTTATTCTACTGAGCCATCTCCCCGGCCCCTGGGCCTTATTTTCTTCATCTGTAAAATAAGACTGCAGCAATAGTGTCTGAAATAATAGGGTAGAACCTGGCTACCTGAGGATGAGGGAGGGGCCCTAGGACTACCCCCATTCTCCCTTCTACTCTCACACCTGCAGATGCTCACCATCCAGCATTACCACATCCCGATGGTCCTGCCATGGAGGCCGATCTGGGTTAGCAGTGCCACCTCTCCTGCTTCCTTTCTTCACCAACTGCACTGCTGGGGTGGCATCAGTGGCAAGAAACTGACTCTGGAAGCGCAGTAGGTCTGCCTCGGACTCTCCTGGCTTGGGACGGGACAGCATTTTGGCACTCCAAAGCTCTCTGATGAGACTCCTTCTGGCACTGTGCTCATTCACCTCTAAGAACAGGAAAGACAGAAGCCCCTCTGCTACTGAGCCCCAATTCGGAGGACCCTCGTTTCTGGCAGTTCACACATTCATTCTTTCCTGCATTACTTCCCTCCCCTGTCTTCCCTGTGCCATCAGCCTAGCAAATCTATCTACAGCCTATGCAATCATTTTTGCACATCATTTACAATCACAGGAACAAACAGGTAAAGAAAAGGTCATCAGAGGCCAGACAGATAAATGTGTCAGAATAGAGTGGTGATTGTGTCAAATTGGAGAGAACATGGGCTGAAAGTGTTCTGATTAAAAAACATGGCCTAGGGGCTAGTGAGATGGCTCAGTGGTCTAAAGTACCTACTTAGAACAAGCTTAGCAAAGCATCAGGGACCGTGGTTCAATTCCCCAGCACCACATGCCAGCCAGCCCCGCCCCCTGGTGGGCTGAGCTGGCCACACACACACACGCACACACACACACAAAAACATGGCCTAGGGGCTGGGGAGATGGCTCACTAGAATAAGTGCCTCCCTGGCAAGCGCAAGGACCTGAGTTCAATCCCTGGTTCCGCAAAAAAAAAACAACAAAACACAAAACATGGCCTATGCTGGGCATTGTGGTGCCTGCCTATATTCCCAGCACTTAGGAAGCTGAGGCAGGAGCGTCTCAAACTGAAGTCTTGCCTGGGCTACAAACTGAATTCAAGGTCAGCCTGAACTGCATAGTAAAACCATGTCTCAAAAAGATACAAACAGGGCTGGACAGATAGTTCAGCGGCATAAGCCCCTGCCTGGCAAGGACAAGGTCTAGAGTTCAATCCCTGGTACCACATAAAAACAAAAACAAAAACCAAAAAGAGACAAACAAACAAACACTTGGCCTGCTTAAGATCAATACATAAAATCATTTGTATGTCAACATATTAACTAAGAACAACCAGGAAACGGAATTAAAAAACAGTGTCAGTGTGATATGATGGCACATGCCAAAATCCCAGATACTACAGAAGGCTGAGGCAAAAGTTTAACACCAGCTTGGGCAACTCTGTTAAAACTCTGTCTCAAAGTAAAACAAAAAAGGTTTTGGGAGATGGTAGAACATTTGTCTAGCATGCATAAGGCCCTGGGTATAATCCCCACTACAGAAAAAAAAAAAAGTGAGGCATGGTGGTACCCACCGGTAATTCCAGTAGCACCAAGGAGGCTGAGGTAGGATCCCTACAAGTTCAAGGCCATCCTGGGCTACAAAGTCAATTCAAGGGCCAGGGAGATAGCTCAGTAGAATAAGCGCTTGCCTGGCAAGTGCAAAGGCCTGAGTTCAACCCCCAGTTACCCCCCCCCAAAAAAAAATCTGACAGCAAAGTCAATTCAAGCCCAGGCAGAACTGCATATGCGAAAAAACCCAAAAATTAAAAAACAAAAACCCTAAAACAAAAACTGTAAGACATTGTTGAATCACAAAAGATGTAAACCCAGGGCCTTATGCAAAAAGAGAAAGCTATCTTACACTGATGAAATAGAAAACAACACTATATATAGAAAGATAGATAGATAGATAGATAGGCTGGAGAGATAGCTCAGTAGAGTAAGTGCTTGCCTGGCAAAGGCAGGATCCTTGAGTTCAATCCCTAGTACAGCAAAAAGGGGGGGGGGCAGGGAGATGGCTCAGTAGAATAAGCGCTTCCCTGGCAAGCGCAAGGGCCTGAGTTCAATCCCCAGCTCTGCCAAAAAAAACCCCCAACTTATAAAGTAGAACTACATCCCAAATCTGAGAATTCAATGGAATTCCTACACAAATTCCAAAGGCCTGTTTTTTTATTTTGTTCTTTTTTAGTACCAGGAATTGAACTCAGGATTTGGTGCTTGCCAGGCAGGCACTGTGTCACTGTGCAATATCCGTGGCCCCAGCCTATCTTTATAGAAATTGATAAATAGAAGCTGGGCATAGTGAATCACATGGATATTTATAGTTACTACTTGGTAGACTAAAAAAAAGACTATCAGTTAATCAGAAGTTCAAGGACATGCTGAGCAATTTATCGACATCCTATTTCAATTAAAAAAAAAAAAAAAAAAA